TTAGCATAAAATGAACATCCCTCTCTGGGATCCTGTTCAATACATAAATGTACTAGCGCAACTAATCGGTCAAGACAAACCGTATGGTTGACACTACAACCGTTCAGATGGGTTGTTCAATTCCATCTAGGTTGTGAACCAATGATCTTGTTTCGCAAATAACTGATATAGTGATCTTCGGTACGCCCGATGACGACCCACTTATCTACATGAAAAACAACAGAACGTGGAACTTATTTAACCAAACATAATTCTCATTCATCAAGAAATAACAAGTGTAATATCCACTAAAGCAAAGCTTAAGTATATAACACCAACATTCGCGTGGCTCCACCTAGCCAAGGTCGGCGATTGGTTCAAAGTATAGATCAAAAATTTCAATTTCAAGGTTTCTACAAGAAAATTTAATCCATGATTTTTCTCAATACGATAATTTTCTTACTTGGGATTTCACATAGGCTAAGGTAATAGCAAGAGAAGAGTTTTTTCCACAAAACATGTACAAATGGGGTTTATTCCAAATTAGCTTTTTGGTTTTACACGAATTCATAAGTTTCAAGGTCTCAAAAATAACAGGGCATAAAATCGAGTTCCAAGTCCACTACCTTATTCAAACAACACACTCTAACACGCAAAAAGACCCAACGCTAGAAATAGGCAGAAATCCTTAAAGGAAATCTAATGCAGCTCTCCAGTCGAGAATGGTTTAAGGTTAGTGGCTCTTTCTGAGACACCCACTAGCTAGCTCATTTTGGCTCTTCTGACTAACAGCGTCGGCTGTCACGTAAGCTCTTCCTCTGGTAGCTAATCGTGTCAGCAGTCCTGAACGAGATCCACTCATTTGTACTTGCCATAGTTCACACCTCAAGGTCTAGGCGAGAGGCTTCTTTCATTGAAATGACCTCGATCACGTCTTCGGGTGTTTTCGCTACGTCTCAGCGTTCCTAAAGATAGACTATGACATCGCTGCAAAATTACAACCAGATATTTCGTCGCAGTCGCCATTGCATTACATAGCACGAAAGAATTACTATCTGACTATAGATATTCTCATCGGGTTCCGGAGTATGTTTTGATACGTCGACTCCTCTATCTTCCGGTGATGGTACATAAGGTCTCGGATCGGTCCTTAATGATTTTACAGTTGCCCTCAGTTGATTGAACATGTCTTCACCTCGTGATAGAACTTGATCGTCCTTCCTTGTCCATCGGTTAGTTTTACGGTTGTCAATGTGCAGCATTCTTTGCCATGAAACAGATCAGCTCCTCCGGTGTTCAAGTTGGTGGTAACTCGTCTTGCTCGTCTGGTGGCCTTCTTTGCTAACCCTTCAGGCTACTCCTAGGTGCATCCAAAGGATCAATGCATCTCAAAAATGGTTCAACTCGTCCTTGATAATGATAAAAATAATTTGGTTTGGATGAATAGAATATCCAAACACAGCTGAAAGAATGATATAAGACAAGAAGAAAGCCGAAAACACTTGTCTTAATTGGTACATCAGATAGCAAAACTTGATCTTGAAACTCTAAGCGAACAAGAAAACAATAACAAGTGTTTTCAACGGTTTTGCAAAAGTCCAAGAAAATGAAAGATTTCTCTCAAATGCCAAAAGGAAGTAAAAGAACAAAAACTTGTCAAAGTTTACAACAAAACACAAGTTTGAGAATACAAACGGCTCTACGTTTCACAATGCACATGCTCCAGGCTCGACTACCCTCCTTAAAAGATCCTTCATAATCCTTTAAGGTACGACACTTTCCGCGCATTAGTCGACCACTCCCGATCGGAGAAAATTCAATCACATAATTCCAAGGAAAATAATCCTCGGTGATGGTTCTCCTTCATTCGCACCTGAGATGAAACGACATGATCCTCTTCTGGCCTCAAATGCTAGTAGTCGGTATAGCGAACGATAACAGAATAGTCGAGTTAGGACTTTGCGTAAACAGTACGCTGGATCCACTTGAGTTTACGGAGTCATTCAGCCAAACTGTAAACCGTCGCGGTCAACGCTCATAACCCAAGCAATAAAAGGTAGCCATTGCTTTCCTTGAGATTTCGCCATCCTCGAGAATCACGTTAGCAATACCTAATCGATCATCAAAACCCTTGGCTTTGAACGACAACAAATTCGAAGCATTAAATTCCAATCCTCACACTCCGATGACTGGATTTCACCACGCCTCCTCTGGTCCACTTGTCAACTGCCCCAGACGTTCGAATGATCCCACACATTCGAGACATCTCGGTTGTATAATCTCGATGAGGCATCCTGACATTGATCACCAAAAAACTATGGTTCATAAACGCAAATCTATCGACGAGATAGCTCGCACAAGGTGCTAACTCAAAACTTATAGAGAGAAAATTTCTAGGGTCATAACTAATCTCAAATGCGACTAGAGTTCACCCAATTAAATAAAAATAAGGGATAAGATCCTAAGCCCCATATATATCAATAAACAATCACAACGAGATACTAAACACATACCTAGAGCTGACGCGGCGAGACGAAAGCGAGTGGTCAAATGGTCATTAAACAAAATAACACTAGAGATAGTCTACAGAAACGCAGACTAGCTCTGATACCATATTGTATCGTCCTGTTTTATTTTAAATAATTTATCGAATTTATTTATAAAAATCAAAGTTAATTTTTTGCAAAATCCCAATTTAAAAATTTGATTATCAACGGGTGCAACTTAACTAACAACAACAATTAAACAAAAACAAACAAGTCTAATGAACCTACACATGCATAACTAATAGTTATATAAATCAAATGGACTTATTCAATAATTCCAAAACTATCCAAATAGCTTAACATGAATCAACGGTTCATCCAGACATAATCATGGTGCCAAAAGCGGAAGCGTAAATATTCCAAAATAACAACAAGTAGTTTCAATAAGATAAATAACAGGCGGAAGGAAGAGACACTAAAAATGCAACAACGAATGACCACCACTCGATTGTCTTCTCACCGTGCCCGCACTTTCTTAACCTACATCCGTGAAGAGCATGTGGGGGTGAGCACATATAGAATAAGTGGTGCTCCCCAATATGCAATAACCAATAATTAAGATAAAACATTAATCACAAGATAAGACAAGAATCAATCAACTATCCACCCATAGTTATAGCCTCATGTGCACACCTATCTCAATTTACTACTGTCGACTATATATCGAAAGCCATAGCCATCGGCCTTCTGGTCTTACAACGAGTGTCCAGCCTGTAGGAGTCTCCCCTGAAGGCCCGGCCTCGCCATCAAACTTACATCGGGGTACTTATCGCTGACGGAGCACATCCCTGATCTTAAGCGACATGTCCTTTGCAAGGACGTAAAGAGGAGATTACCCCAACGGGGTCATTTTATAGTTACAGGGACAACCGTTCGACAGCCGATACGGCTCATATCAAAGGCTACATGGTTCGCTTACATACATTGATCACACCATACGAAAGGCAATAATTTACTGCATAGCAATTTTAAGTAAAACCCACATGAATGTAGCGATAAATCACAAGTACGAGGCTCGAATTAGTGGTGAGGTCAACACCTCAAAACACCTACACGAAATCTAGATGGCCTCTCGATTACAATCCAATCCAACGACCACACAAACTTAGTTGAACACGTCGACTAAGTGGCTCGTGGAAATTCTCATGGAATTATGGAATATTTTATTTGACTCGAAACCATGTATGGAAAAAGTCACATAATATTCAATTAGGGGTTGACCAAGTCAAACAAAGGTCAAAGGAGTTAACTAAGGTCAACAGTTCGGAAAAGAGTCCGAAAATCGGGGTACTAGATCGGGCTATCTCCAACTCAACCTGGGGTTTGACTCGAAATAACAAACACATATCAAACATCAGTAGAGAGCAACATTCATGAAAGATCACATGAGAATTCATACTTAAGCAATATGAGCTAGCTTTTGCAAAATACGACAAGTAAATCACATATTCGAGTTGACCAGACAAAAGAACAAGTTTTAACTTGAGATTTGAACTCATAATATACATTACTGGGAATATCAAAACCACCAAGTTTCATTCATATCACTTAAACATGCGATTTTATAAAATTAAAACAAGATTTCAGCAAAAACAAGTATGAATTTAATGTCTGACTTAATGAATGATTTAAGACTAATCAACTTCAGCATGGTGAGAGCAACATATAAAAATTTCAAGTATAAACACTGAACACATGAATTATGATAATTATTGCAAGTTTCAGCAGAATCCATAATTTAAATAAAACCCTAAATTCAATAAACACTGGGATTTTTACATCATCAAATACAATTTCAAATAAGCATATAAACCAACTTTCAGGCATTTTCATCAAAGAACCAATTTTACACGATTTTTGCAATTTTCTGCAGAATTAATCAATTAAGCATTTGCCCTAGCAATTGGATTTCAAAAATCATAAAAGTTTTACACAAGGTAAATAAACATCAGGGGAACAACAATCCAAATTTTAGAATTTTTGGACAATAATTCAAATTATCACGAATTATACAAATCAAGGCAACATCAATATGTTAAAAAAATCCATAACTCACAATATATAATTCCTAATGACCCAAGGTTAAGACCATGGTTAAAAAAAATTTAATTCTCTCTTTGAGAGCCCTAATTCTCTCTTTGAGAGCGAAAATTTGTCCTGATTTCATCTTCTCTGATTCAATGTTCTCCCCATCAATTTCATCCTGTTTTCAAGTTCGTATTTGATTTCCTTCTTTATTGTCTTTCGATCGATTGTAGCATCTTTGGGGTTGTCATGGCAGACTTCGACCAGGAGCTCTCGGATCGTCTAAACAAGGTAGCTCTTTCTGTCAACGAAGAAAAAATCTTTGATATAGCTCAAAATGGCATTAAGCTCAGTGATGATGAGTGCAATCGAAGCCTCTTTGGTAAAATAATCGGGGATAGGCCAGCAAGCTGGATTGGTATAAAATGATCAATGTCTCAGATCTGGAAGCTTAATCAAGCTATGGAAGTGAAAGAACTCTGCCCAAATTATTTTCAATTTATCTTTCAAAACCGGGATGACATGTAGAAGGTGGCTAGTGGTACAAATTGGAGCTTCGAGAACCAGTACCTTGTTTTGAAAGAATGGGATGTGAGTATCAACAGCAAGCACCCTAGTTTTCGTGAGCTGAATATTTGGGTGCAGGTACAAAACATTCCTCCAAATTGGATCAGTACGGAAGTGGGGCTCAAGATAGGCCAGGCCTTTCACAAGGTCAAGAATGTGGTTATTGCTACTACAGGGAGTCATGGAGGTAAGATTCTAAAGCTCTTATTCACTCTTAATGTGGAAGAATCTATCCCTCGTGTGGCTAAAGTGAGGCTTGGAAATCAGTTAGTGATTGTTGGCTTTAAATACGAGAAACTCATCAACCTCTGTCATTATTGTGGAAAAATTGGTCACTTGGATAGAGCATGTCACATAAAAATGGATGATATTCGAAATAATTCTCTCCAAGAAGAACTGTATGGTGATTGGTTAAGAGCTCCTGATGGTGTTAAATGGAATCCTTCCAGTTTTTCAGGCTCTAGATCATCTCCACCTCCAGAATCTCCATCTCCCTCAGATAATAATATATCCCAAAAAGCTTCTTCAAGTCAAGGCCCTGCTAATAATCAAATAATTCCCAGCATTGGGATTAATGAATCACCAGCTCGGTCAATGGGAGCACCTTTTGTAGTCTCAGCTACTGGTAATGCTGCGGAGCTGGGGGACCTAGAAGAAGCTAACTTGCAAATTATGGACGCTAACCCCATGGATCTTGAAAAAGGAGAGTCAACTCCAATCTCAGAGTTTACTTTTCATCATGAGTCTCTCAGCTTCTCAACTTCACCCTCTGAAATCATGGAAAAGAACAGGTTCAAGAATGGGCAGACTTCTCAGAACCAATGATCCTCCTATTATTATTGACCAGCAGTACAAGGGCAAAAGAAACAGGCTAGCTTTGGACTCATCTGAACAACTTGAGGATCATAATGTTCAATCTCTGGCTCAATTCAAAAAACAAAAATCTGATATGGAAAAGGTAAGGGTGGCCAGCCTTAAATGGCCCCACCCTGATAAATGTTAGCTCTGGTGTGGAATTGTAGAGGGCTGGGTGGGCCCTCTACAATTTCCCAAATCAGAGAGCTCAAGAAAGCTCATCACCCCAATTTTATCTTTCTTTCAGAAACAAAAAAACCAAATGCTTTTGTTAAGTCTGTTTGTAATAAGTTAGGTTTTGTTAATAGGATGGCTATTGTAGACCCTTCAGGTCTTAGTGGGGGTCTTGTTTCGTTATGGGATTCTCATGTTGTTATTAATCAGATTATCTGTAAAAACTTTTTTATTGCTGTTGAATTCCAGCTGCAATCCCAGCCCCCTCAATGGGGTGTTTTTGTTTATCTTAGTCCTCTCAGACTGACTAGAGAATCTCAATGTGAGGAATTGATTGCTGCCAAAGCTCAATGGGGTTCTCATTGGTTTTCAATTGGTGACTGGAATGATATCCTCTCTAACTCTGAAAAAGCTGGAGGATCCAACAGACCTGCTCACAGTCTCATGGGTTTCAACTTTTTTGTATCTGATATGAGTATTCTGGAAGTTAATTCTATTGGTTATGCATTCACTTGGAGTAACAACAGAGCAATGCCTGCCCTTATAGAGAAAAAGTTGGATAGAGCTTTCTGCTCTCTTGATTGGTCTCACTCATATCCCAATGCATCAGTTACCAATATTCTCAGAAGTTCATCTGACCATGCTGCTCTTCTCTTAAGCATTGGTCCTCCTACCCTGAAAAGAAAAACTCCCTTCCAATTTGACAAAAGATGGTTGAGTATGGATGGATTTAATGAAGTAGTGACTGCTGCTTGGCATACTCCAGTGTCAGGTACTCCTCTCTTCCAACTAAAAGAAAAGGTCAAGCATACCAGGATTGCAATTCTCATATGGAGCTCATCCAATCTATCCTCAAGGCAACAAGAAATCTCAGACCTCACTCACCAAATGGAGGACCTAAATTCTCATGGGAAGGTAGAGAACTGGGAATTATGTAAAGAAACTAAGAGGAAACTGAACAAGGCTCATATGTTGGAGGAGCTTCACTGGCAGCAAAAGGCAAAGTACAGATGGTTGAAAGAGGGGGATGCCAACACCAGGTTCTTTCATGCTTTCACACTACAGAGAAGAAAAATTATTGCCATAACCCGGTTGACTTCCCACAATGACAGAGTCTTATCTTCTCAATCTGAGCTGGAATCACATATCTCTGAATTCTATACTTCTCTATTCTCTTCAGAGGGCAGTTGGGGAGGAGATTCTGTCCTTCATTTAATTCCTAAAACCATAACCCCAGATATGAACACTGCCCTCCTTAAACCAGTTGAGGAGGATGAAGTTAAGCAAGCTCTCTTCAGTTTTCAAGCTGATAAGTCCCCTGGAGAGGATTGGATGACAGCCATGTTCTATCAGCATTTCTGGAGTTTAATCAAAGCTGATCTCTTGAAGGCAATACTCAGCTTCTTCCAATCAGGTACTATTCTGAAATACTGGAACCACACAGTGTTATCTCGGATTCCCAAGTGTTTCTCTCCTGATAATCTGAGTCAATTCCGGCCAATAAGTCTTTGCACTGTTATCTACAAGCTCATATCCAAAATTTTGGCTCAAAGACTTAAGTCTTGCTTACCCTGCTGCATTAGTGATCTTCAAGCTGCTTTTCTAGAGGGCAGACAAATCACTGACAATATAATAATTGCCCAAGAAGCTTTCCATTTCCTTAATAGACACTCTACTGGTCCTAATGCTTTTATGGCACTCAAATTAGATCTTGTTAAAGCTTTTGATCGAGTAGAATGGATTTGTTTAAAGAAACTTATGATTTAGATGGGGTTTCACAATGATTTTATCAAGCTGATAATGACATGTGTTACAACTGCTTCATTTTCTTTCAAAATTAATGGCAGCATCAGTGGTTTTGTCCTTCTCTCGCGTGGTATAAGGCAGGGGGATCCTTTATCCCCCTACCTTTTTCTTATTGTCACTGAATTGCTCACTGCCTTGATTCAACATTCTATAACTTCTCGTATGCTCAAAGACTTGAAACTGTCTAGAAATGGGCCTGTGTTATCTCACATTCTTTTTGTTGATGATTCTCTGTTCTTCCTTAAAGCTGGTACTGATCAAGCTGGTTTTTTGATGAGCATTCTTGAGAAATACAGATTATTTACTGGCCAAACAGTTAATCTTCAGAAATCTGCGGTTTTCTTCAGCAGAAACACATCTTCCCATCTAAGGAGATCAATTTGCAATGCTCTGAATAATATTGTCTCTCACAGATCAACCAAATACTTAGGCTTGCCTTTGGGTATTGGTAGATCAAAAGGCAAGTTTTTGATTATGTGTTGAACTCAGTTAAATCCAAGATCACATCTTGGAAATCTCAGATGCTTAGCTCCTCAGGGAAGGAAGTTCTTATCAAGTCCATTATTCAAGCCCTTCCTGTCTATATAAAGGCCTGTTTCACTTTGCCAATCTCCATTTGCTCTGAAATCACAAGATGATGTGCAAAGTTCTGGTGGAAGTCTGGGCCTGACCAGGCACATGGAATCCATTGGAAGAGCTGGAACCATCTTTCTCTTCCAAAAGAAAATGGAGGCTTATCTTTCATTGATCTACCGCTCTTCAACAAAGCTTTGATCTGTAAACAACTCTGGAGAATTGCCACAAATCCAGAGCTTCTTGTCAGCAGAATTCTAAAGGAAAGGTCCTTCCTAATTGTTCTCTGGTTCATGCTTCTAGAACTTTCAATGTCTCTTGGATGTGGAATTGTTGGATGCAAGTTCTACCTTATTTTGCTAAATATCTTAACATTGAAATCAGAAGTGGTGTGCAGACTAAAATCACTGATCTAAACTGGATTCCACATCACATCAAACCTTGTCCTTCTCTCATTCCTATTGCAAGAGATCATTTGATTTGGGTTAGGGACTTATTAAACAATGAGGGTACTCAATGGAATGCCTGGTTGTTAGAGCAGGTGTTTGATGAAGTTGATTGTAATGCTATCCTGAAAATTACCTCTATCTCTCCCTCCAGAGAGGACAGGTTATATTGGGGCTTGAACAAGAAAGGTTTATTTTCTGTTTCTCAGACTTATGCTCATCTGCTGTCTTCTAAAATTCATAAGCTGGACTCCCCAGAAAGTAGCTCTTCAGCTCTCCTCCAAAAGTCCATTTCTTTCAGACACTGGAAGCTTAAGTTACCAGGTAAAATCAAGATCTTCCTCTGGAAGTGTCTTGCTGACTCACTTCCTGTAACTACCAAACTAAGAAGGAGGGGAATTGACTTGGAGACTACTTGCAATTTGTGTGGTGAAGCGGCTGAAACAGTAGAACACCTGTTCTTCTCATGCAGTAGGGCAGTAAATTGCTGGAAACTTAGTCCAGTACAGTGGGATGGTTTACTGTGTTGTACTGACTCTTTCAAAACTTGGTGGTATCATGTCTGCTCTCTGGACAATTCTGAAGTTGCTGAGGCTCGTATTCTTCTCTCGACCTACATACTTTGGTGGCTTTGGAAGTCCAGAAACTTATGGATATTCCAAAACACTCGCATCCCAGAACCCGTCTTGGTCAAATTGGCTTCTGCAGACTGGATGGAGTTCTCTTCGGCTGCTACTTCTTCTATTGTTTAGTTTCTTTGTTGGTTTTGTGTTTTAGTCTCTCTCTTTTATTTTCCTTGCTAGGCTCTTTGAGCAGTGGCAGGTGATCTATTTTCTAGTTTGTTGTTGTGTCTGTCTGTCATTAGTAGTCTTTGTTGAGGTTCTAGACCGCTTGTTACGCGTCTCTCATTTTTATTTTTCTTTTCGAGTAGTTTTGTTGTAATTCGAACTTGGTTCGCCTTTTGAGTTTTATATAGTTATCTCTGTCGTTTCGAAAAAAAAAAAGGTTAAGACCATTATGAACAGGACACACATATGTTCCATATTCCAAGAGTTTTCCACGAGCAAAGAACAAATCATAAAGGTTTCACCTTAAACCTTATAGATCTAATACTAAACAATACATAAAATATCATAACTTAATATAGTACTAACAATTACTGTGAATTATCACGCATTCAACAAATATACTTATATATTACATAATAATAATGGAGTTTAGTGAAATACCAAACACCAAAGGGAGAAAGCGAACAAGGCACGGTGACGGGATGCGGGCTCAGCTCTTACGGGCGGGGAACTTGTCCGCTTGGCGTGCTCGATGTTGAAGGCTTCCGGCGAGCTTGGTGAATCTCCGGCGAAAAGGAGAGAAGGGGGAGTGAGGGAGAGAGTTTGAAAGTGTGAGAAAGTGAGAGATATAGAGAGTGAAGAGAGACAATGGAGAGGGGAGGGGGTTTCCCTTTTAATGCTAACAAACTTGTAACCTCCCCTCATAATCTTGGTCAAAGCATAATAAGTGGGATAAGGGGGTTACAAATCAATTCAAATTTTCAAACTACTTCTAGATAGTTTGCATGCATGGGGCGGCTAAGGGAAAAACCGAATTGGGTGCGCCCAAAAATGGCGTGCGGGTTCGAGGCCCGGTTGCTAAGCGCGTGATCGATTATTAACTCCCGACTAACAATGATGCTCAGTTTGACAGATAATTAACTTAAATATAATTCGGCTCGATATTTAAATTACGTATTTATAATATAATTACGAGCATATAATCACAAGAAATTAATAATCGAGCACGATTGAAATAAATTAGGATAATAAAAATAAATAAATAATTCTAAAATAATCCAGAACAAATGGGGTGCCACACATGGCTTTGGTGATGTTGGCTTCATGTTATTCCAAATTTTTCAAAATGGTTGATGATTGAGATCAGAAGTGGTGGTAATACAAGAATTGATGATGCCAACTGGGTACCTAATCTGACTTAAAAGTAGCCTGAACTTATTGACATTGCCAGAGGTCACTGAGTATATGTTAAAAATTTAATGTTCAGTAATGGCCAGGGATGGAACGAGTGGCTTGTGAACAGGTTTTTAATGCAGAAGACAGTGCAACAATTGATCAGCACTTAAAGTCAACCAGGCCTGACAGATTATATTAGGGATTGGACAAAAGAGGAAGGTTTTCTGTGGCCAACATGTACACTTACTTATCACAACAGAAAGCTCTCAATTGGATCAACCTGAATGCCATTCACCAGTTATTTCTTGGAGGGACACTTTCAGAAAGAACTGGAAACTTAAAGTCCCCGATAAGCTTAAAATCTTTCTCTGGAAATGTATACATGGTATTTTACCAGTCTCAACTAATTTCAAAATGAAAGGCATGAACATTAATATTATTTGTAGGTGTTGTGGAGAAAGTCCATAAACAATTGAACATATTTTGCTGACGTGCCCCAAAGCTGCTACATTATGGAAGCTGGCACCTGTATCATGGGATGGGCTCAAGCAATACCACAATTTTTTTAAGCTTTGGTGGCAGCACTTGTGCAAGAACGCAAAGACAGAGGTGGCACACCACAGAATGCAGCTCACTACATATCTGTTGTGGTGGTTATGGCGAACTCGCAATCTGTGGATATTCCAAGGCTCTCTAATGCCAGAACATTTAGTTATAAAATGTGCTCACTCGGATTGGTTGGAATTTAGTTCATTATAGTTATGTAATGTAGTATTATCTGTAGCTTCATTGTACTTCCTTTAATATCTATATTCTAGATTGGTGATTGTAGTGGATGTATGGGACCTGTACTAGACCTTATGGCAGTGGTAAGGTCTCAGCATCTGTATTGGTTAACTTTTGGTAGTTATACTCTAGGCCATCTCATAGACGAGCCTCCCATTTTTTGCAGGATTTAGGGGGTTCTCCTGTGTATTCGAACATTGTTCGCGATTGAGTAATATAATATCTTCTATCATTTTGAAAAAAAGAAATATGAGCAATCATATATAATTACTTTATGTGAAATTCATGAGCAATCATATATAAATACTTTAATCGAATCAATAAAATAAAGAAATATACAGTCTAATTTGACGGCAAAATATCATTTTTTGGTCCATTATATAGTTTGCCGGTATTTACTATGTCAAATTTGTTTATGTTATTTTTTTTTTTTTTTTTTT